ACCAGAGCTAATCGTAAGGTCACAAGGAACACAAACAATCATGGCTTTATAACCAGGCCGAAGAAGCCAGCCTATACCGCGTTAGCTGGAGAGCCTGGCTGCTTCCATGCTCCTGGGTTACCCACCCCTGCCTTTCTGGACGGGGGGCAAATGGGGGAGTGGTCACGCTTTTGGAATCACAGGGACTCTGTTACATTCTACATCCTCTTCCCAGAATACCTGTCTTTTGTCAGGGGACAGATTGTGGGACTTGAGCTGTCTAGCCCGTTGGACAGGCCTAAGAATGGTTTCCCGGGAGAGAAAATGTACTGGGAATCAACAGTGCTTGACATTGCTTTTCAGAGGAAGACGCCCTTAGGCAGTGAGGCCAGCTGGTCTAGGCCACCCTGAGCTCAGGGAAAGTTATGTCCACAGGGCACATGACTGTGAATAGGCCTTGGGCTTGTTCCCGTCTCCTCGGGTCACTCGGAAGACAGGCCCTTAGCTTCTCCTTGGTGTCAGGTAGTGTGTCGGCTTTCGAGGGGAGCCCTTGGAGTCCAGGGGGTTGCGATCGGAAGGCAGCGCAGGGATGCGGGCCGGCTTCGGTCCTCCTGGGCTTGTACGCGGGCGGGCTCCGAGGCGCTCAGCGGAGGTACCCTGTGAGGGCCGCTGAAGCCACCGCTCTGCCCGTGCCGCCACACTCCCTTCGACATGTGGGGCCGGGGAGCCAGGACAGAAGTGGAAGCGGGCTCTGTCTTCGCGTCGTAGCGTCAGGGCCCACAGCGGGGGAGACGTCACGTTAACAAGGGCAAGCATCAGATCATCGTGGCAGTCCATCTGCACCTGTCTCCTGGCCCTGCCTCTGCCACTTACTAGCTGGTGACTGTAGGTGAGTCACTCAGCCTCTCTGAGCCTTGTTTTCCTCAACTCGAAATTAGGAATAGTAGCTTCCTGGAAGAGTTTTGACAAGAATTAAACGAGGTCATAGCTTCGAAGACACCTTGAATAGCAGCCAGTCAAAGCACAGTGGGTTACCCCCTCCCTCCGTTGCTCTCCCCAGGGGAGTCAAGTGTCACTCGTCCCTGACACTCTGAAGAGGCAGTGGGTCAATGTACGACACACAGGGCAGGTAAGTCAGGAGAGGGGCAAATAAAACATCCGCTCGGTCAGCGGTTAAGTAGAAACCACATGGCAGCCTGGCCTGAAGCTGGGCTGCGTTGTTTGGTGTCAGTACGCACTCTGTGTCAGGCGTCCTCATATATAAATTGAGAGTCGTGGTCCATACCCTCCCTGCTTTGAAGAAATGCCCAGTGACATAAGATGAAAACGATTCTGAAATAATAAAGCAGATGCGCAGAGACTAGTGGGCAAGGAGACCCAGTAGTTTCAATGCCACCGCCGCCTTGGTCAGGTCCATTTCTGCTTCCTGGGTCTCCGCTTCCCCATCTGTAAAATGAGAGCGTTAGACTAGATCATCGTGGACGTCCTTGCCTCTTGCCATTCGAGGAATTTGTTATTTAAACAATAACAATAGATAAGATCTGTGTACTGTTTTATATGCTTTATATGTTATTGTCACATTCGTTATCTCTAGTAAAAATAGCACTGAACTAACTGCCAGACTAGGAATAAGGAGTCCTGCATTCTTGTCCCTATTTTGACATCGACTAACGGTGTGGCCTTAAGCAAGTTTCTTCCACCTCTGAGTCTCAGATTCTGAATGGGTGAAAAAGGACCTATGGGGGGTGGGCTAAGTCTGTAGGTCTCTGAACTCTTCCACCGACCTCGGGGAGTCCTGGGGTTTCTCTGAGGTGTGACACATGCTAAGGCTGCAGAGCAGGGGTGGCAAGCAGAGGTCTAGCAGGAGCCCCGCGTGTCCTGTGCCTTCTTTAGGCTCATCATGTCTAATTTGATCTGTTTTCTATATGCAGGGCCTCTGTAATGTTTCACTTGTGGGGGGGGGGAAGTCCACTGTAAGAGAAAAAGAGAAAAACCATAAATACGAGTGCTCTAAAGCCTTACGTAGTCAAAGTGGGACTCGATAAAATACGTTGTCTAGTAACTTCTTTTTTGAGGTCGTTAACAAAACAGTATATTGTGAACATCCTTCCAAGTTAAAAAAAAAAAAACAACAACAGATACTGACTGCACAGCCTTCCCTTGCATGAATATGAGATAACTTATTTAATCATTCCACTGATGTGAGACAGTGAAAATTTTTCCAATATTCTGTTTAAATTATGCTATATGACACTTCTTTTTTTGTGTGTGCCTAACCGATTATTTTCTTATAAAACATTTCAAGAAGTGGAAATACTGCTTAAAGGTTATGCATATCCTAATTTTTTCAATATGTTGCAAATCGCTCTCCAAAAAAGTTTATGCTCCCAACCAGCTACACCTCCTTGAGCAATGCTTAATATTTAATCTTTACCAGTCTAACTTTTGAGACTGATGTTTTCTTTAATTTGTATTTCCATGATTTCTAGTGAAATTGAACAGCTTTCATATATTTATTGATCAATTGTATTTCTTTGATTGCCTATTCATGTCTGTTTCCCATTTTTCTATTGTACTGTTGATGTTCCTATGTCACAGAAGTCGACTACTGGTTTTACATACTTCATGCCAGTATGGTTTTCTTCATCTGTGGTTGTCTTTAAATTTTACTATTATGTATATTTCACATGAGAAAGTTGAAATGTTTTCTAGTCGAGTCTATCAAGATGTTCACTTACGTTTTCTTCGTTGCCATGCTTCAAAAAGGGCAGCCCTTTTCTACCTTCGAAAAATGTTTAATTCTCTCTATATTTTCCATGAATACTTCAGTGACTTTTGTTTTTTGTTTTTTCATTGACAGCTCTAATCCATCTGGAATTTATTTTGGTTTCAACTAGTAATTTAACTTTATTGTCTTTTCCAAATGATTAATCATTTGTTCTGACACCATTTAGTGAATAAGTCATCGTTTCTTCACGGTGCATACTGATCTCAAATTTAGAATGATGTATTCCATATATGGAGCGCGTTTTGGGCGTTTCTGGTCTCTTCCGCTGATCAGTCTATACTGGAGTCAGTACCAAACGGTTATAATTATTATGGCGTTAAAATACTGAAATGTCTGGTAGGAAAAACGTTATTACTCTTCCTCAAAAATATCTCCGTGATACCTCGCATTTGATTCCTTCAGATGAACTTGCGATTATTTTGTCAAGATTTTGTTTGGGTCATTTTAAATGTATAGATTTAATTGGGGGGGAAACTGACATCCTTGGCAACGGTACACCTTCCCATCCGGGAACACTTACATCCTTCCATTTAATTCGAGTCGTCTTTACATACCTCAGTAACGCTTTTGAGTTTTGTTCATGTAAGTCCTGCATTAATAATCTATTCATAGAGTATGAGAAATCCTACATCCTTCAGTCTTCTGTGTAGGTTCACAAAAAAGACGGCTCGACACGCTCCTCATTTGAACGATGCAGCGCCACAGATGGTGGGTAACTTCCTCTGCTCCAAAGAGGATTTTTCAGAGTGAACCAATTGAAAGAAGCCTAAGCAGACATTGACCTCAACTGACACTGCATGGCAGCCCCAACGGGGCTGACCGGAATTAATAGGAAGGGGGAGTGTGCGGAGACGAAGAGCACCCTCTGTCAGGGATTCCAGAGCCAGGTTGCTGAGGACCTCATGCCAGCCTATCGTGTGGCAGTCTAGGGTTTGGGGGCTGTCCCAATAGGAGCGATGTCAGACATTTAAACATGCAGTGTTTACAGCTCCAGAGTGTAGACTTATCTCCTTCAACATGAGGAAGAATGTTTGTATTTTGCCAGAGGTTTCACAGCAGCGTTTTTTGTGAGACTTATTGTAGGTCATGGATGTAATTTTGCTGCTGGACGTCAACAGTGTCGAAGAGCTGAGTGTAATGTTTGCAGAATTTGAGGAGGAGATGGATAGGAGTTTGTGTTCTCTGTGTTATTCAGTCACCTGAGCTGTAGTGTAGGAACAAAGGACTACCTTGGAGCAGGCCCAGGTAGGTGTCCCTTACGCACTTCTACTGTCAACCAAACACCGAAAAGGCATCCACAGGGCCATATGCTCACTAGACAATGAGCGAAGATGTCTGACACCCTCAGAATGCTCTGTCTCGAAACTCCAGCCACCCACAGCACATCTCCATCCGGCGCGCTTGCCAGATTCTGTGCCGGCTCTACCGCCAACTTCCTGTGCCTTGTAGCATGTCATCTGAAGACTTTGTGTCCATTTTCCTAATTGAGGAGTCAAGCATCACATTGGGACATTTTATTAAGAGGCGTTAAGGTCGTTTAGAACCCGAAGATTATACATTTCTAATTATACCCAATGCATCAGAGCTACACGGAGACAGATACGGAGTTTCTTAGAAGGAAAAACCTTACGACAGGGTCCGGAAATGGAATGGGCTGCAGTTGAAGAACAGGTGGGGCGACCACTTTGCAGAGATGCTTCAGGGGGGAATCAAGCCTTGTGCGGAGGAGTGGGGGTGGTGGGACCAAATACCATATTTTGTTTTAATTCGTTATTATTAAGAACCACGCAAACTTCAGCCATGTTGGCGTAGAATAAATAGGCAGGAAATACTAGCAACACAGTGATCGTACGTCGGCCGAGCCTTATTTGGGGAAGTTGATAATTAGGCGGGAGAGGTGGGTTGAAAGCAACCTCGAGGCTGTTCATCGCATCCCCTGTCTCAGATCCCAGTCCAAACGGTATAGATGAGTCGCCGTCCTGTTTTTAGGCGATATCTTCCATATCTATCTTAGGAAACCTCAACCACTTCCATCACTATTGTGTATCATTTAAAAATTTAAAGTTGTCGTTCTACTTCGAGAAACGTGTCATATGTACATATTTGTATGTTTTAGTCTGTTCAATGCTTTATGTGATTGTGACATATATACAAAGATAATTCAGAAACCCTGTGCGCATACACATATTGACCTATGCATTTACGTGTACATGAATATACAGATGTGCATAAGCATGTTATTTATGCAAGTCACGTGTGGCTTGCAAAAGCAGCAGCTCTCTACATTAAGAGCTTTGGTTTTTCGAAGGGCTTTGGAAAACAAAGAGGAAACCAAATGATTCCAGATAGAAGAGATGTTAGTCAGTTACTACGATAAAGGAGAAGGAAGAGAGATCATTAATTTGGTTAAGTTCTTGCTTAGTGATAATACTTTTCCCTTTGTATGAAAGACTCTGCAAATATATTATGGATGAAATCCAGATGTCGTTCAAGACTCCTAGAGATGAAAGTGATTTTAATGATTTTATAGTTTCGCCTGTTTCATGTTATCAAGAGAGGGAAAAGGGACCCTTCCAAGGTCCTATAGTCAGTTAGTGGTAACCTCAAAACTGAGTCAGTGGTGAATGACCATGCAGCGACTTTGGCTGTACTACGCTTTGCACTTATTCCTGGACAAACCGTAAAGTACATCTTCATTCTAGGTGACGTTGTTTTAGGCCAAGAGAGTCTCTGGGACAAGGTATGAACTATAGCTAGGGAAATGACCTGAGTTCCAAATTGAAAAAAAAAATTTTTTTTCTATGTTTTTTCGCTGTCCCCTCCCTCCCTCACTCACCGGGCCACCTGCTTTCAGAAGCAGAATTTAGGAAGCCACTGGGGGCTGCAGTCCATTGGCCGCGTAACCCTTCCTTGGCAAACTGGGGTCCAGAAGCTAACGTTTTGCTGCGGAAGGGATTCCTCAAAGAAGTCTTGGGGTCCCAGTTGGACCTCACTTCACTAATCCGTGTGCCTCGCCTCGAGGATCGCAGCAGCGCCGATACCGTGAGGGCGTCCCAGTTCTAGAACTGGGAACGAGCTCAGCGGAACCGGATGCAGGGCCTCCCCTGGGGAGTTGACACCCCATAAGCTGAGCGGCACTCATAGCGCCGTCCTCTCTGCGCACACTGCAAAAAGCTGTTAGCAAATCACGTGTTCCGTTTACACAAACAGCATCCTGCGGTGCGGGGACAAAGCATTCTGGCCCAGAGACTTAGTTTTCTCATCTGTTCAGTGCGAGTGGCGATGGCTTCTGTGTCTCATCCATACGTCGCAGGCTAAGTGAAGGGACAGGAAAGCCAAGCTGTAACTAAATTTCTGGAGGGATGTTTTCGTTTCCTGCTATCAAATACCAACTGCTCTTCAATTTCTCTCCCTTCTCCTCCCACGAACATTCCTCCTGAGCCAAAAGAATCGACCCTAAAAATCCCAGTCTATCCCATAAACCGAAGCACAGCAGTAAATGAGAGGAAAAACAGCGGGGACTCGGGGAGAGAAGGGGCGGGCCGACGCGATCGCAGGCTCAGCCGAGGCTCGGCGGCACCGAGAGAGCGTCTGTAACTTTTAGAGCCACCGTGTGTACTTCTGTCGCTTCCTGCCGGTGACTCTGTATGCTTATGGATCTGTCTGTTCCACTCGTGTATGAATTCAGTCCGTTTTCATTGAGGACCTACTGTGTGCCTGGCCTGTGCTAGGAGCAAGGAGGCGAAGTATTGAGTGAAATAATATGTTCCCGAGCGGCGCTCCACGTCTGAGCAGCCGCGATCCGAGGACCTCCGGGTCTGAGCGCGCCTGTGTGCGCGTGCGCATGCGCGCGGTCTGTTCGTGTGTGTCTATTTCTTCGTAACTGACGACTCCAGGTATGCAAGGCAAGGACGATTTTTCTTCTGAGAGGACTTCCTTTCCCTTGCTGTGACTCACCTCGCAAAGAGGGGACCTGACCGCTGGTTGAGTTTTATCACCTGCAGGGTTGGGGGTATGCTCACTAGCAATTTAAAAACAAGTAGAAACGTCCTGCAGTTCAGTTCTCTTTTATAGATGTTTTACCTGTGTGTGTATCACGAAAAAGAAGCATCGTATTAGCTCGAGTATGAGCCTGTGCATGAATATAGGAATCAGGACGAGGAAATAGGACCCTTGCCCAAGTCTTTGCTGTGCCGTGCTAAAGGAGTGACAATTTCTGCCAGCGATCATTCTCTCATGGGCATTTTTGGCTTTTAGTAAAGGTAGAGCATCTTATTTTTAAAGCCAGTGACCAGCCCGAATAAAGGAGCTGAATTGTTCATCCCTATGAAAACCAAATGATACAGCGTCAAATTAAACCGGCCCGTTTCATAGTTAGATTCCGTGTGATCAAATAGTTCGGGGCCGTTCTCTGTCCACTCCTCTCATCCGGAAGGATATCTCTTCATGCCATTTCTTCATGCCTAAAAATACTCATGGGGAGAGACTCCAGAAGCACATTAACAGGGCTCTCTACTCTTATATCTCTTCTCCCAGGAAAACAGA